GGGGACAGGAGGAGAGGCGGGGTCCGCCTGCGGCCAGCCAATAGGAGGCTGGGAGGCGCGGCTTTCCGGCGCGAGGGTCCTGTAGACACTAACTCCCTAAGCCACTCTCCCCTCCATCACATCAGCCAACCACGAACCAGACTCCTTGGTTTCTGCCAGACGGCTCCGGGGAAGGTGGCCCAGCATCCAAGAAGCTAAGCCCCGCCCCGCCCCGCCTCGACAGCCAATGGGGGCCAAGCCCAACCTTAGCTGGGTCCCAGAATGCTCATCTTCTAGCCACACCCACGGTGGGGTTCCCCGAGAGCCCGGGAGGCCAGGCCAGTGTCTAAAACCACCTTGCCTTCAACAAACAATTAATACAAGAGGACCACACATTTTGCCCAAGCTCCTAAGCCAACCCAGTCATATTCCAGGGCAAAGTTACAAACCATACCTCCTCGGGCAGTCCACTTCCCTCCCCCATTCTAGGCCATACGCCTACATAGTCACTCCGGGCTTCAGATTTTAGAGTCTTCTCTAAACCACACCCCACTCCCACCACCACAACGTTCGCTTACTTCCTCAACTGGTCCCAATCTCTTTCCCAGATCAGGTTTCTGATGGCCACGCCCCTGCCTCTAGGCCACGCCCCCTGACGACCACTGCACGCCTCCAACTTAAGGACCTGCCCTGGCCATATCTCTTACTTAAGACCTAGTCTCACCCTCTTCCGACTATCCAATGAGAATGCGGATCAGCTTTCGATCCCAGTGCCCAATCATTAAGCAATCCCTTTCCTAGCTAAGGGATGGAATGGACTGACCATCACCTTCTGGTTGATGACTTCTGCCTCCTCCTCCAGCAAGGCCACCAGCCTCCGCAGTAGGGCCTCCTTTTCTGTGGGTGGGGGACCCTGTAACTCTAGGGGGGGGCAGAAGAGAATTCGGTCAGGGGGCAGAACGCTGGCAACCCTTCTATCTTCATCCTCCAGGGCCCCTCTGCATCTCACCTGGGCTAGGTGGGGACCTGAGTTGCTCTTGGACCAGCTGTTCCAGCCGCTGGGCCACCAGGGCATAGAAGTCTGGAGTAGCTGGGCCTGGGGTGAAAAGAGGCAATAGGTCTCCAGGACGTCGGGAAGTTAAGGATTCCCTCCTCCCAACCACCCTGCCAGGCAGCAGTGATATCCATTTCATGTGGGTTAATTGAAGCCCAGTGAGCAAGCTTGGCAAAAGACCCTTGCATTTTTTACTTTACGGTGTCCCCCCCAAATGGACTTTGAGTGTTAGAACTGAACCGGACCTTGAAGATTATCTGATCCAAGGAAGGCAAACACAAGCCACTCCAGCAGTTACCACCCTATGCCTCGTCTATTTCAGGCATCATCAACTGATCGCAGACCTCTTCTCTCTGGCTAGGAAATCCTTTGCAATCGAGCACACCCAGTAGCCTTTACTAGTCCATCCAGGCTCATGTATGAGAGCAAAGTTGTTGGTGACTCTTGATCAAATCCAATGACCCCCTCCCAGTCCTACTTTGCTACTGGAGAAACACAGGAGCAGGGAAGGAAAGGATCTTCCGAGTCATGTAACCAAACAGATAGGGAGTTGTGATTGCAAACCATGTCTCCTGCTTCCCTATTGTACAGAAGAAGAAAGAGAAGAAATAGAAAGGGACCACAGAACTGACAAACAGCAATCTAACTGGGATGGGGTAGGGCAGAGAATGGTGAGGGTAGGTGCTGGAGACCCCACACAGCTACCTACGCCCTTAGCTGAGTGATCCTGAACTAGTTCCTTATCCTGTCTAGGCTTTAAGAATCAAAGCTCCTGGCCCTGCACGTTCATGGGTGGTCTAGGGAAATCTCTTACCAGGCTGCGAACCATAGCAGGGGTGAAGGGGCAGGGAGCAAGGCCGAGGAGACTCAGGAGGAACTTCTCCTCGACCCAAGGAGCAAGGAAAACATCTTCGAAGGCGGCCCAGGAAGTCTGTTGGCTCCTCCTGGGCAGGGCTCCTATGGAGGGAGATCTCAGAGTGACTCCAGAGGCCCCTTGCAAGCAGTCTCTTCCCCTCCTCCCCCCAGGGTCTCTCCCTGCAACCCCAGGGACAAGGAATAGAACCAGATATAAAGAGACGGGAAAGGAGACAGACTGAGACCAGGAGCAAAACTTAGGGACGGCTCACACCACATGCAGAGGCGCCTGAGGAAGGAGGGCAACTACTCTCACCTGGGCGAGGTTGCAGTGGGGGACCCGGCAGCCTCACCCTGCCTAAGAAAGGCAGCTAGGACCTTCAGCGTTTCCTCCCGGAGCCCCAGCTCTTCCGAGCCTGCCATGGGGCACCTGTGAGAGAGGAGGCTGAGGAATAAACTCCGGGGTTCAGCGGGAAGTGAAGGCTTGGGGCCCACACTCCTAGTCGGTGAATGAGGAGTGGGCCAGGACTCGGGAGTCCCCAAGGGAGGAAGGGGCTGAGGGTCTGAACTCGTAGGTCCTTTAGGGGAATTGAGGTCTGGAGGTCCAGACTCCTGAGTCCTCGGAGGGAGAAGAGCGATGAGGGAGAGAGGGCTCCTCGATCCAGGAAGAGGAGGCTGGGGGCCCGTATTCTTGGGTCTAAGGGAAGAGGGGGCTGGGGGTCTGAACTCTTGAGTCTGAAGGAGAAGGGGATTATGCCTTAGATCTCTGGGCCCCCGAGGGAGAAGGAGGCTTGAGGCTTCGACTTCTGTACTCAGAGAGCATATATGCCCAGCTACTTAAGCCGTTAGATGATGGGAACTACCAATCCCAGCAGGCTTCATGGCAAACATTCCACTGGGTCCGCTAGTGATCGCCGCACAGCCTGCTGGGAGGTGTAGTTCCACTGTCTAAGGCTGGACTCTTGGGGACCCGCGACGCTTGGATGTCGAAGCAGCAGGACTGCAGTTCCAGCTCCTGGATCCCGGCCCTCTTCCCTTCCCTCCTCGCTCCAGCCCTCACTGACGCCCCACTCACCTGGCCCCAGGCCCAGGGCCCCGCCGCCGCCTCCTTCACTCAACTTGTGTAAACTTTCACTAGTTCAACTTTCCCGCGCCTGCGCACTGGGCCGGGTTGGTGACGGCCCAAACGTAGAGGGGGCGGAGCGCCGGGTGCCCGCCTAATTTGCATGCGACGTTCCCAGCATGCCGGTGGCCGGAAGTCCTAAAAAGGGCATGGGGAGTCTGTATGTGCTGCTTCCTTGGTTTGTTACCCAAATGACGATAAAGTCGTTTTTATTTCAAGAAATCGGTAGAAAACAAAACTCCACTGCCCTAAAGCTCAGCTGACGGGAAGGGGGGTGTGCAGCTGTGACTTCGAGAGCTACCGGACCCCAAACTTAGGGGCGAGTCCCAGCACTCTGCGAGCCGAGTCCCTCTCGGTAGGTAACGCGGAAGAGCTGGGGAGTTGGTGACACCCAGGAGCGAGGAACCGAAAAAGGATGAGTCTGATAGTGGAGAGGGGGCTGTGCACCCTGGGGAAGGGGAAGCAAGGAGGGGAAAAAGTCACGCAGTGGCCGGTGCACAAAAAACACACACACACACAAATAGTAGCGGGGCGGGGAAAGGGGAGGTTGGACTCTGCAAATAGGAGGCAGTCCACTCTAGAAAGTGGGTAGCGTGCCCTGGACTTGGGAGGCTGCCTATTTGGGGGGTGAGGGGGAATTGTGGGTGGAGGTCTACAGTGGCAATGGGTGAGGGGATCTTATGTGGGGAACTGTGGAAGCGGGTCTACACTAGGTGTGGGAGGTAGAAGTCTACGCGAGAGTAGCGATTGCTGTTAGGTTCCACCCTGGAAGTGGGGGTACCTGCATTGGGCGATGGGGACGGAGGGAGGGGTTTACAGTGGAAGAGGGAAGGGTCTCTGCTGGCGAAATTGAGGGGGTAGAGAGGTCTGCACAGAAGCTGGGGAAACGAAGGGGGCCTAAAATGGATTTGGGAGGGAGTCCTCGCTAAATTGGGGAACCTCTCTGGAGGATGGAAGGAGATGTTCTGTTTATACCCCAAGAAATATAAGTGAGGGAACCTGTGCCGTGGCCTCGTGAGAGGATGGTCTGGGTGGAGAACTCTCAGGCCTGGTGGGCCTGCGCCCGTGAACTGCCCTTTGTTAGCAGGCCCGACCATGGGATCCCAGAAGCCGCGCATCCTGCCTTGGCTGGTGTCGCTGCTAGACGGGGGGCAGCTGGAGGGCGTGGCTTGGTTGGACCAGAGCCGCAGGCGCTTCCGCATCCCCTGGAAGCACGGTTTGCGGCAGGATGCCCAGCAGGAGGACTTCAGCATCTTCCAGGTGCTTGGGAGCTGAGACTCAGGAAACTGGAAGCTCCCACAGGGTGGTGTGGACTCCGAGGGGTGGAGTTAGGATGGGATGGGGTGGGGTTAGGATGGTTGACAGGTGTGGGATAGCCGGCAGGGTTGGAGGGGCTGGGTTCCAGGAATAAAACCTGGAAAGCGGGTTAGACCTTGAAGGAAATGCCTCCTGGGGGTTCATGGCTTACTGGGGGCGGGGCTCTTGGATGTAGAATTCTGGGGGTTAGCCTTAGAACATAAGAGACCAGACTGGGCCTAAGCTGAGGTTACTCACCACCAAATTAGGATACACCAGCAGTGGTAAACCGAGTTAGAATGGGAGAGGGCGAGGTTATTACAGAAGGTGCCCTGGGGCAGGTTAGTTGCAGAGTTAGACACCCAGTAGGATCTAGAAGGTTGGTTTAGAAAGCAAAGGTTTTTGAAAGGTGGAGGCAGGGGGACTTGGGGCACAGAGTTTGGGAATAGAACCTTGCTGATTTAGAAATGTGCCAGGGGAAAGAGGTCGGTGTTAGGAGAGGAGGCATGGTTATGACCCCTGGGGCAGGGTCTGAATCATCCTCTCCTCTATCCTGGTATCACTGGCCCCCCCAGGCCTGGGCAGAGGCCAGTGGTGCTTACACTCCAGGGAAAGATAAGCCTGATCTGCCGACCTGGAAGAGGAATTTCAGGTCTGCCCTGAACCGGAAGGAAGGGTTGCGTTTAGCTGAGGACCGGAGCAAGGACCCCCACGACCCACACAAGGTGTATGAGTTTGTGAACTCAGGTGTGCTGGAAGCGGGGATTTCACGGAGGGATGGGATTTTAAGTTCCCAGCACCCCTTTTCTGCTCACCACCTCTCTCACCAGCAGTTGGGGACTTTGCTGAGCTGGAGACCTCTCCAGACACCAATGACAGATGCAGTGCCTCTGATACCCAGGTAAGAATGTGCCCAACCCTCCTGTCCCCTCAGTCTCTGTTCCACCTCCTCTCTGTGTCCCCTCAGACCTGTTCAGGCCTCATCTTCTCCCCATGGACTTTCCCCCCAGCCTCCTCCCTGGCCTCCCTTCTCTCCCTCACCTGACCCAGAGCTGACCCTATCCCTCTTCTGCTCATAGTCCTTCCATGGCTTCCTGGCACCCTCAGGAGAAAATTCCGTTTTCATTCAAGGCCCTAAAATGCCTTCAGTTGCTTTCCAGCCTCTTGGAAACTCAGAAACTCCTTACCCTTGACCTTGCTGATGTCTGTGCCAGGAAAAGTCCCCTGTGGAATTCTCCCCAGACTTCTCTGCCTGCATCTTGCTTGTGTGGAGCCAGATCCTTGGGCTAGAATTAGCTGCTCCCCTCGGGCCAGCATATATCCGAGCATATATTTTGCTGTCTATGCCCGTGGCTCGCTCTCCCCTAGACTGCAAGCCCCTTGAAAGCAAAACTCAGGACTTTCTCCTCCCTGGGTCCCAAGGCCTGGCCATGGGAGGTCTCCAGAGGATGCTGCGGAAGTGCCTGGGGACTTTTATTCTCTCTCTAGGAAGACATTCTGGAGGAGTTGCTGAGTGGCATGGCCTTGGGCCCAATCCCAGATGAGGGGGCCTCGAGCCTGGCTGTGGCCCCCGAGTACCCCCCTCAGCTCTCGCTGAGCCCCAACTTAGACATCCCTGCTCCCTACCCAAGCTTGGAAACCCCTGAAAACCCACTGAAGCAGCTATTGAGGCCTAAGGAAGGTGAGTGCCAGCTGTGGACTGGGGGGGTCTGGATCTAGGGTGCCTGGCCCCCTTACACGCTCTCAATCTCTCTCCACATTGTTGCTGCTGCTGCTTAGAGTGGGAGTTTGAGGTGACTGCCTTCTACCGGGGCCGCCAAGTCTTCCAACAGACTGTCTTCTGCCCAGAGGGCCTGCGGCTGGTGGGATCAGAAGGGAACAGGACATTCCCTGGGCAGCCCATAACACTGCCAGATCCCGAGGCGTTCCTGACAGACAGGGCTGTGAAGGGCTACGTGAGTCGTGTGCTGAGCTGCCTGGGCGGGGGACTAGCTCTGTGGAGGGCAGGGCAGCTGCTCTGCACCCGGAGGCTGGGGCCCTGCCACACATACTGGGCTGTGGGTGAGGAGCTCCACCCTGACAGTGGTCGTGGGCCTGATGGCGAGGTACCCAAGGACATGGAAGGAAGCGTGTTCAACCTGGGGCCATTTGTGACAGGTGAGTGGGGCAGGCCTTACTCTGTTGCAGAGTGTGGGCCCCAGTGCTTAAGAACTCTGGGTCTGACCTTTCAGGACCCTGCTGCTCCATCTGCAGTCTAACATGGCTGCTCTGAGCTTGTCAAGTCTGAGGACTGTGTCTCCCTCTACCTGCCTGGAGCTGGTAGGAGGTATAGGGCCCACTGTACAGAAGGTGCTCATGGAACCAGGTGTCATAGTTGTAATCATTATTACCAGTTACAGTGGACAGACACAGGAGAGAGATCCTGTAGTGCTTTGCTAGCCGATAGAATTTTCTTTGCACTGTCCAATATGGTATCCACTAGCCACATATTGCTATTGAGTGCTTAGATGGGGTGAGTGCATCTGAGGAAGTGAGGTTTAAACTTTATTTGCATTTTAATTAATTGCAATTTAAATAGCCATGGTGGCTAATGGCAACATAGGGACAGTGTGGCCTTAGGGGATTAGAAAGTAGTAACTGTCAGCTGCTTCTACACCTTTGGGGGAGAGGATTCCCTTCCTGGGTCTGTCTCCCCATCCTGAATGCTGAGGCTCTGGGGGAGGTGGGAGCAGATCTCCCAGCACTACCCTGATGGGTGGGAGGGAAAAGGAACTTTTATATTTGTGCGAGAATTGTGGGGACTTTACGCAAATCAGCAGCCCCTGGGTTTTGATGGCAGAGGTACATCAGGCTTTAGGTCAGTGGGGAAGGTAGGATATTACTCAGGTTTTAGGGGGAGGGACAGGTAGAGGTCTTCCCATCCCTGACTGGCTCCTGGTTCCCCAGATCTGATCGCCTTTATCGGAGGAAGCAGCCGCTCACCACGCTACACCTTCTGGTTTTGCATAGGGGAGCCCTGGCCCCAGGACCAGCCATGGACCAAGAAGCTAGTGATGGTCAAGGTGCCTACAACCCTAGGCTCCTGGAGCTGAGGGGGTGGTTCTTCCAAAGGGAATAGGTTGCTCCCCAGGAACTACAATTCCCAGAAGCCCCTCCAGAAACTAAAACTTCCAAGTCTCTGTAACTACCTTTTTTTTTTTTAAGTCCTCACCTGAGGACATTTTCATTGATTTTTAGAGGGGAAGGAGAGAGCAAGAGAGAAACATCAACTGGTTGCCTACCACATGCACCCTGACTGGGGTGGGGATTGAACCTGCAGCCTTTCAGTGTACGGGATGATGCTTCTACCAACTGAGCTGTACTGGCCAGGGCTGTAACCACCATTCATCCCCAGGAGCTTCTGGGTGTACAAGTCCTAGCAGCCTTTGAGGAACTACAGCTCCCAGTAGTCCTTCTGACACAAGCTGCTCAGCCCTAGCTTCTGGGAATCCCTCTGGCCTCCCATGGTTGTAAATTTGGGAAAACTACAACTCTCAGCAGCCCTGAGCCTAAGAGTTCATTCTGGGTTATGGTGGGAGCTGCTGGGAGTTGTAGTCCACTCAAGCCCATCCTGTACAGTAGACAATGTTGGGTGCTTCCCTTGACCGGGTTTCTCCCCCACTTCTCCCCCACTTCACCTCCTATAGATTGTTCCCACGTGCCTCAGGGCTCTGCTAGAAATGGCACGGGCAGGGGGTGCCTCCTCGCTGGAGAACACTGTGGACCTGCACATTTCCAACAGCCACCCATTCTCCCTCACGCCAGACCAGTACAAGGCCTACCTGCAGGACCTGGTGGAGGACATGGATTTCTAGGTCACTGGAGAGTTCTGAGCCCACCACTCATGGGTGCAGGCCTCTTACCTCCACCAATAAACAACTAGTTGCCACTGTCACCACTTGTGTGTCTGGTATTTGGTATCCCCAGGCCAGCCCTGACCCAAGCTGGGCATTACTTCTTCAGATCTCATTTTATGCATCTGTGCAAGCCACCCACAACTCAGGTGCTCACTGTATGAGGGTGAGACACTGTGTAGGTGGCAGCGGACACTCACCACCTCCTCACCTCTTTCCATGGACCTGGTGAGAAGGTGTCAGTCATTCCCATTTTACAGACCAAGACAGTGAGGCTTAGAGAAGAGTAAAGGTCACAAAGCAGGAAACACAGGCTGGGTCAGAATACGGCCTAATTTTAGAGCTACTACTCTCCGAGGAAGGCCCAGGGTTGCATCCAGAATCCCCATCTTGCTGTGAACAGCTGGGGCAGGTCTAGTATGCAGAGGGCTCCCTGCCTGAACTGTCCTGTGGGGGTGGGGCCTTGGGTTCCCCTTTGTATGGTGCTGGATGGGCAGTGGTAAAGGAGCTCCGTGCCCCATCCCTGGAGCCCACGCACTCCGGCCACACTACCCCCTTTCCTCATTGTGCCTGGCTTCTGGGCTACAGGACTGAGGCC